TTTTGCACTTAAATTGACCACTGTGTACTTTGCCTCATTTTTTATAAGCTTACATCTCTATGAAATAGCCTTCTCAGTGCTCCTTTCACATCCTTATTTCTCAGTGTGTAGATGAGGGGATTGAGGGTTGGAGTCACTACTGTATAGAAGAGAGAGATGAATTTCCCATGAGTATGGGCGTAAGAGCTGTTGGGCTGAATATAGACAGCCATGATGCTCCCATAGAAAAGGGACACTACCATCAGGTGAGATCCACATGTTCTCAGTGCTTTGTTCCAAGCCTGGACTGAGCCAGTTCTTATGACTGCCCTAACTATATGGCCATAGGACATCAATATCAATGTTAAGGGCAAAAGAAGCAAGACCAGTGAAGCAACAAAGAGCTGAACTTCGTTGGCGTGGATATCCACACACGCAAGTTTAATCATAGAGGGCACCTCACAAAAGAAATGGTAGAGCCACCGGTGTCCACAGCGAGGCAGCCAGAGGGTTATTGTGCCCTGGATGAGAGCATTTCCCATTCCACTCAACCATGCAACGCCTGCCAGAGCCTGACACAGCTGTGGGTTCATCACAGCTGAATAGTGGAGGGGTTTGCAAACAGCAGCGTAACGATCAAAAGCCATCACAGCCAAGAGGACACACTCAGTGGAGCCCAAGGACAGTGAGACATAGAGCTGGACAGCACAGCCCAGTGGTGTGATGGTCTTGGCTGGTCCTCTTAGGTTCCACAGCAGCTGGGGGACAATGCTAGTGGTAAAGCTGATATCCACTAGCGAGAGATGGGTGAGGAAAAAGTACATGGGTGTTTTAAGTTTAGGGTCTATAAACGAGATCAAAATAATGACTGTATTTCCCACAAGTGTAAGAAGATAGGACACTAAAACAATCACAAAAAGTATCTTTTCCAGCTGTGGCTGATCAGAGAAGCCCACCAAGATGAAGTCTCCTTTGAAACTGCTGTTGGCCATCCCCATTATCCTGCTCAGAAAAAAAGGAGGAGAAAACATTGTAAGAATTTTGAGAGAGGGGAATGAGTTGGCCACTGGCTGTATATCAACCTTTAAAATAGCTCTGCAATACTAGCCTTAAGAGAAATCACAGTGAACCAGGGGGTAAATTTTGAGATATTTTCCTTAAAAAGTTGCAATAAATGATGTTAAAAAGACTGTATAGACGCACACATGAAGTCTAATTGTGAAAACAAAGCCTTTTCTTGAGAGATTGCTATTAGAAGCTGAGATAAAATTTATGACACACACACAAACAAAAGAAAGAGGAGATAAAAACAGAAAGCCAGAGGAATAAATGTGTTTTATTGAAAGGGAAAACTAAATTAAAAGGGGGGAAATCAATAGTATTAATGTTTAGAATATGTCAGTAATATACGTAAAATTTTTTATCATTCAACCATAAATTTTGAGATGGATTTTTTTCAAGGGTTTATATTGAACAGCAGCCACTTTCTGGAGATTATTATAGATACCATTTTTAATTTTTATTAAATGGCAAACATTTGGCAATTGAAAGTAATAACATTAACAGTTATATCTGAGTGTTTTAATGTGTATCATATAATCATTATGCACATACAGTATTATCTTTGAGACATTACCTTTAAAAATTAATTAATTAGCTCATTTGTCTGTTAGCGTATTTGTGATGGAACTTCATGTAATACATTTAGAACCTTGCCCTCATTCATTTGTGATGTTGGGAAAGGAAACCATCTTTCTGGTCTTGCAGGTTGAACAAAAGGCTTTATATCTAAATGGAAGACAATTTATTGAATGAAAGAGACTACTTCAGTGTTTATCAAGCAAAAACAGAATTTTACCTGCTAGATGATTTAAGAGATCAAGTTTCTGGGCTTTTAAAAGTCTGAACATCTATATAAGCAAATATTTATAAATATAGTCACTGATACAAAAATAATTCCTAAGATCATATCTACCTCATGTTAGGGAAAATATGTACTTCCTACATTTTAAAAAAATCACTTGGGTCTTACATTTTTACCCTAGTAATTTCGTGTCCTGAAATTGTGCAATTCCTTGCTATAATCATGGAAATAAAATATATTAATTCTCAACAATTAATCTCTTATAATAATTTAAGTTTCCATGCAAAAATACACTTAGTAGAAATCAGTGGACTTGAGATGAAGTTAAGGGAAGTGTCAAGTAAAGGTCTAAAGATCCAGTAGCAAAATTAGGTAATTAGTGCTCCCTCAAATGGAGTTGTCATGGTTGTGTGCTGGGACTCTTTTTAGTGACCCTATAAGACAGAACAGAATGCCCATAGGGTTTCCTCTTCCTGGTGTGGCACTGTAAGGTAAAAACCGGACTACTAACCACAAGGTGGACAGTTGAAGCCTCCAGCCACTTCCCAGAAGCCCTGTAAAGGGTCACTATGTGTGGGAACCGATTCAACAGCACTTAACAACAACAACAATTTTTACAAAAGCAGATGGTCGGGTCTTTTCTCCATGAAGCCACTTTGAACCACTGACCTTATCGTTAGCAGCCATCAGGACCACCTTAAACCACACTGCACCATCAGGCACCTTCAAAAGGGGAGCAATGTAGATGAAATGGACCATAGGGAAGTAACTAGCTCATAATAGTTTTCAAATTCTAACACACACAGCTTCTCAAATTCTAATATATCACATATGTATCTATACACACAAATGCAGTAACTTTTCCTATTCATTCACAGTCAGTTGTTATCCATTTACATGTAGCACCCTCAAAGGTACTCATGTTTATTCTATCACACATTAATGCAGTAACTTTCCTCTCATTCATAATCAGTTCCTATTTATTTATCTATAGCACATTCAAAGATACTCGTTTTTCTCTACTAAAGGAATACTATTAAGCAACATCCTATTGCTTTATATTATCCTATCCTTCTATTCTCTTTAAGAGGTCCTGGTATGGCACTGTGAGTTAATGCATTGGACTACAAAGTCGCTTTGAACTACAAGGTCAGCAGTTCAAACTCACAAGCTACTCCTAGGAAACCCTATACAGGGTTGCTATGGGTAGAAACTGAGTCTACGGCACTTAACAACAACAATTCTCTTTAAAGCTTTTTTCATGTTGCCACTTTATCCCAGAGTACATTCATTTTAAGCTTGTAGAATAATTATATTTCATCACACAAAATTTACAGTCACATGTGTGCTGTATTATCTCCCCTCACCTAGATTAACATCAGA